CATTTGCATATGAGTACCCACTGTGATTATCCAGGCTCGAAACAAGGAAGAAGGAGTCAGCTGTTCTTCCAGGTATTTGAACTGCAGTTCAATAGTTAGTCCCGTTCAGGTTGACTCAAGTAAATATGTCACATGCTGGAAGCATCACTTTCTTGCAAGTAATACAGCCAAACAGAGCAGGGGCTAAAGCAAAACCCTCGTGCACCTGCCAGTGAAGACATGTTTGGGAAGTCCTAAGAACTGGGACATACTTCTTGCTAAGCCATAAGGGTTTGAGCTCCTCCTCGAGGGGAGGGAACGGAGCCCTGAGCAAAGAAAATTGCAGCAATATAGCAAAACAAATGGTACAGACTAGCAGGGAGCAATGTGACTCTGTGAACAGAGTGAATGAGAGCCTTGTTCCCTGAAACTCCCGCCAATGCCAAAAAGAGGAGACAGAAGAAAAAGAGGTGTATGCAAACACGAGCGTGAGGGAGAGAGACACTGTGGGTGAAAGAGACTGTGTGAGGGAGAGGGATCTTATACAATGTGTGAGAGACATGGATCCTATAGCCTTTGTGTTTGTGTTAGAGCTTGTGTGTGAGGGAGACAGACTGTGTGCGAGAGCCTGAGACAGCTACAGCATGAGTGAGAGCAGGAGCAAGAGAGCCAGGCAGAAGGAGAGGGGTGGGCCAAAGTAAGCCTCTCCAACCTCCTCTCTTCCTGGGAGGCCACTTGGAGGGCTTGAAGTTGTGGTGGGTTGGGGATGCTCTGGATATGGGGATGGCACCACTGCTGCACGCCCTCAGGGATAGAAAGGTTGAGTTTCTGTTTTCCAGAGCTGTTTTTGATGCCCTGTGTTTTCCAAAACATTTACTCAGTGCTGGCAAACACCACACAGTACCGGTGGGAGATGTTTTGGAGGAGAAGATGAAGACGGGTGGGTGATGTTGCACTGAACACCAGTGTTTGGGCCTCTGACTCACTCCTTGACTGACATAATTTGTGCTAACCCTTAAAACCAGGGACAGCATCAGCACTGCAGATTTCCAGAGGTACCATGTGACATCATCTGCTGGAGCTCCCCACAGGCTGGGTGATGTCATCGCTGCAAAGCCCTGGTGCAGGGCTGATGAGCCTGTTCTTCGCTGGGGAGAGAACAGGTTCTTCCCAACACCTTTTGGCTGGTGACAAATTCACACTTGCCTTATCACTGCACAGCAATAGCACGAAGTGAGAACACCGTGTGGATTTCAGTGCTGGTTGGGAATAAAGTTCGTGAGCTCTGTCACTGATCTGAAATTGTGATGACATACGTAGAAGCCCTGAACTGTGCCAGGGGCATCTCTTGTGCTGCCCAGATGCAGGCGTTTTAAGCATGCCAAGTGTCTGTGATATGTCGCAGATGCTCTTGCAGGTTATACCCAGCCCATTGGCTTTAGGTCTCCCACCCTTGCTTTAGACAAAAACAATGTGGTCATATGTGACAGCCCTAAGGAAAACAGACCATCAGCATGAGCTTTCTAAGGAAACAAAACCATCATGCTTTCATTCTACACTGAGAGGCTGTGAGTAGCAACTTCTAACAAAAGGCAATGATATCACCAACGTGAGCCTTTAGAGACACTGAATAATGTCACCAACTTGCGTAGCAGTCAATTGCAAGGTCAGTTCTAGAGGCTAAAGGCTGTTGAACCACTTGAGCATAGTGTAATACCCAGCTGACCACTCCTAATAAGTAGGATGTCCCTGCAGGCACTAATGAACACTTGTTGTGATTACTGAATCAGAGCTCACTGGGGAATTTGAGCACATGCCTTCTCATTGTATTGCAGGGCAAGTGCCTGAATGCACTTACCAGCAGGAGTGCCTCAGGAGAGAGTTACAATGCTAGATAAATGCCTGGTTTTAAGCCTTCCAGAAATCATTGGTTGTGTTAGGGCAATGTGACTGTAGCTCAAACCCAGAGAGCCGTATGTCCCTGCAGTCATACTTCTTCCATTCAAACGTGCATGTTGCTGTTGTCAGCAGGGCAAAGGAGCCTTTCCTCATCATTGTTCCCACGGCATATCTCTACCTGCCAGGCTGGACTGTGGGTTAATTCAGCTGGACTGATATCTTGATGAGCCTCTAGGGATGTGCAGATGTGTCCACAGTGAAAGCTATGCCCAAATCCTATGAACAAAAAGCAGGATAGCCGTATTCAGTTCTGCATGGTGTGCACAAGGAGCTGAGATGCTATTCTCACTTCCACCAGGCTGCCCTGGGGCAGCCCAGCACTGCACAGAGTGCTTGCTGTAGTGGTCTGCCCTTCCCCCTCCTCAGAAGCAGAAAGCAAGGTGTGCCTTGAACTTTCCCCGTGTACTTGCTCTGCAGTGCCCTGCTCCACTGTTTCTCCCTCAGTCCTGTGCCTCCTCCTTGGTCACATTCCCCTACCCGTGACCTCCGTCAGTATTACCTGTCCATCCCCATCAGCCTCTGAGAACAGAGACAGCAAACTGGCAGACACGAGCTATCCCTGATGGGAGGGAGAAGATAGTCCCCACAGCGCTCCCATCAAGAGGCCCCTCTAAAACCATCCTAATGAGATTCTCCTTAGGGCCCCTGTCATCTCTGCCTTTCTTTGCAGACTCCTTTGACAGACGGATGTCAGTTTAGGGAAAGCTGTTTGATGTTCTTCATCTTAATGAAACTGATCCTCAGGCAGGAGCTGTCTCCTTTGCCTCTAGGCACCTGTGGTCTAGCAGTGTCAGGCTACTCTGTGCTTTGTCATACTGGATCCTAATTAGTAGCATCCTCTGAAGTTAACAAGGAAAACATCCCTCTGGCTATAGTGAGCAGGAGGTAGAGGATGGAAAAGCCAGTGTATACAGAAATGGCAAGGGTCCAGGTGAGTTCCTTTCCATCCTCTCCAAATATTACTGTCATCTTGTTTTTTCTTTCCTCTGTTCATCCGAAGACAGGGATGGATATGTAAGCAGCTCTGCGTCTGCTCCCTGGCTACTGCTGACCTGTTGTGCCCACAGACATGCTGCTGTGGGGGAAAGAGAAAGAGCAGAGTCCTCATCAGGCCACTCATTTGGGGCTGGCCAAGTGCTGACAAGAGGTGAACCTAGTGGGAGATGTACTGTAGGGTGAGAAGACGTACATTACAGGATCCCTGCTCTTGCACCCTGAGAATATGTTGCATCTTTCTAATTCAAACTGTTGGCTATATATTATATTCCTTTAAGGAGACAAATTAATGATGGATCTAGGAAGTTCAATGGGAATATCCTTTGTTTCCCAAGGAAGTATAAAGTGCTGCTTTAATAAATCAAAAACTAGAAGGCAATTACTTTGCTGCTCCAAAAACCTTGCGTTAAGGCTGTTCTTAGTGGTTTTTACTTCCTGTCTGTTATCTCATCCTTTTATTAGATTGCACTTCTTTCTTTAGCCCTCTCTGAAACACAGCTCTTCTCTTACACACCTCTGTTTTGGGAAGTGATGTATGCGTGTGTGTAGGTAATGATTGCTAATGCTGCATACAGGAGGTTACCTGTTCTGGAACCATCTTACAGAAAGGCCGCAGATAAATCCACCTTATTAAAGGACATCCAATCAGTTTGTAGGAGAAGTTAGTCAAAACTCAGTCAGATCCACCATTCTTATCCACAAACAAATGCAGGCTCCCTAGCAATCATTAAACCTGCAGCATCTACTTTATTCATCCCTGTCAGACACACAGAGCCCTGTCCTGAATTCCCCCTTGCCTTCCTAGTGGGGATGTGTGTGTAATTGTACAGTCCAGCATCGCTCTGTGCTTCTGTGCCAGAGCTCTTTGAAGTGATCGTTATATTGGTAATGCAGCACAACAAATGAGTAAATTCTTTCCACAGCTTTCACTATGATTTCTCTGGGATACCTGACAAAACCTGGTCTTATTACAGCTTTTGAGGCAAGGTGTACAGTGGGCTTCCTCACCCCACTGTCCCTATCTGTCAGATTATTTGGGGCACGTACAGGCTGAAAGAAGGACAAATCTATGTTATAGGTACATGATCAGTCAAGCAAAAGAGAATGGGATGCCCCATCCCTGTCAGTGTTCAAGGCCAGGTTGGGCAGGGCTTTGAGCAACTTGGTATAGTGAAAGGTGTCCCTGCCTATGGCAGGGAGTTGGAACTAGATGATTTTAAGGTCCCTTCCAACCCAAACCATTATATGATTCTATGATACTATGATAATTCTCAAGGACTCTCTTGTCCCCTCCTCACCAGTAACTGGTTCTTTAAAGGAGAATAGCCATTGAGAGACCTGGAAGCAAATTGCTGGGCTTAGCTAGGATGGTAGAGAAGGTAAGGCTAAAGAAGATTACAAAACAATACCCATAGCTGCTATTTGGAGAAGAGGGAGTGGAGTAGCATGGGGATAGAGAGGGAAATGGTTGTCCTTAAAGACATCAAGTCATGGAACAAGGAGCTGCTGACCCCTCTCCAGAGGGCTTTGCTTGGCTGGGCAGCTTATTAACTGAAATTGAGAGAAAATGGAGAAGATTCAGGGCAGAGCAGCAGATAGAGGGGCAAAGAAATGCCTGACTGATGAGGGAAGATGAAGCACTAAATGTGTTTAGCTTGCTAAGTGATGACTAAGAGGATGTGTGATAACCATCTTCCTATCCGAGAAAACATAACTGCACGGGGGATCAAGTTTTAGAGTAGTGGTGGGGACAAGGCATTGTGAAGACTGAGACTGCAGTTGTTACCTTGCCCCTGTACAGGCTGAAGGACAGGAAGAATCATCTTGGGTTTTAACAGGGGAAGTTTAGATTGGATATAAGGAGGAAATTCTTTCCTGTAGGGTGTGAGGCACTGCAATAGGTTGTCCAGGGAGGTTGTGAATGCTCCATCCCTGGCGGTGTTCAAGGCCAGGTTGGATGAAGCCTTGGGTGATATGGTTTAGAGCGAGGTGTCCCTGCCCATGGCAGGGGGGTTGGAACTTGATGATCTTAAGGTCCTTTCCAACCCTAACTATTCTATGATGCTATGATCTCACAGCACTGAAGGACCACTTCTGCTAGAAGTCAGAAGAGATAGTGAGTTTGGATCAGGTGTGAGATGGGATGGGAAGGAGGAGAAAATCTCACAGCTCTGTCTCCAGTTATAGTGATCTTTTCTATCCTGCTCCTCCATTTCTCATGTTCTACCTTTTTCGGTTTAGTTGCTCTGCCTCATTTATCGTCTTCATCTCAGCCTCTTCACTCTCTCCCTGCCCTGCCCCTTCTCTCTGTTTCCTGTCTCCATTCTTGCTCACTTTGCTAATGGTTTCTTCTCTCTGTTTAACACGCCCTTCTTCTCTGTGCTTTTGCCTTGCTCATCTCTCTCTTCCCACCCTCCCCCTTCTCTTCTTTCTCAGCAGGTAGATCTGCATCTGTGATTGAAGGTTCATTTTCTTTTCATTCTGTGGGTGACAAATTCTGACTTTGATAATCACTTGTGAAAAATGAAGAGAGAAATAAACTGCTCCAGTGGCACAGAAACTGTCTGCGATGTCTGTTAGGAATGATGGCAGGCAGGGTGAGAGGTAGGCAGTGCTGTGCAGGGTGGTTCTTTTACTTCACAGAAAGGGAAGGTGGACTAGGGGATGACAAAGATGCTGAGCAGATTTGGAGCAAATGTGAAATGTCTTCCTCCATCAGTTTTGATCCAAGTGAGCAAAGTGGAATGTGTTTCCTGATATCTGGGATCCTGGGGAAAACTGGGATTTGACCTTGAAGTTAAGGGGAAAGGATGTTATACTGGTAGAGCCATATAGAGGTTTGACTGCATTGCGAGATGTGGAGCAGGCTGTGTTTGCCCATATTGCTGGCTTTAGCTTGAATTTCTGAACCCACAATGTGCTTAGGCACAGCCCCAGTTTGGTGTTGCTGGTAGATCATGTTGAAGCAACCATTTGGACAGTTGCTCCATCCGAACTAATGTGACCATGGGTCTGCTAGGATGTCACCATGCAGGTGACATCCCACAAAGCACCAGCAATCTCTGTGTGAGTGGCTCTGATGTGGATTGTGAATGAGTCTGGTTCATGTTCATTGAACTGACTTTATCAGGTTACTCTGCCACAGAGATCATGATAGCTCTCTCTAAGGAAACATCTGTATGGAGTATGATCCTTCTTTCTACCCTGCAGGAGCTGACTCAATGCTGCTTACACAAAGCGGGAGCCCGTGTCTCATGGCAGTGGTGCTCACAAAAGCAATCATGGCAATGACACAGGGACTCTGATGCTCTGTCCTCCCTAGGGAGAACTTCTGTCAGGCATCAGTGTACAACAGAGGATCTAGGTCTGCTGGTATACACAGTGAGCCTCAGCAAATGGAAATATCGCTGCTTGCTTCTCTATACATGTAGCCCATGTGGAGTCATGAGGAAGCCACAGAGTTCTCAAATCCTCTGCAGTAAAGTGTTCTTGTTTCTCCCACAGGGCCATCCTGTTTGCTTTTAGGCTCTGGTGCTTTCAAAGCCAGAAGTTCACATGCTGTTGGTGGCATTAGGAGACCACAGCAGATCCAGATTGAAAGAGGTCACTGATCCACCCATCTGTCTTTTTGTTCTTGGCAGCTCAGTGCTTGGAGTCTCCAACCTGCAGGCCCCAGTGGCGTGGCAACACTTATGCTCTCAGCACTTCTGTCTGAGAAGACATTCCCCTATGCTCTGGAGGAAGCTTTCTTCCTGGGACACAGGGGAATGAACAGTGGGTAAAAACAGATGGTAGGAAAGGGCAGACCTTGGGGCTAATTTACACTGTTCCACTTTGACTTTTCTAATGCTCCTCTTCAGTGCCATGAAATTCAGTGTATAGAGAGGTGAAAGAAGAAAGGTGTTAAATAAGGAGAGAGAATTTGAAAAGAGAAGGCAGCTTGGATAGACGATGGTGGATTTGATTGGGTCTAGAGGTGACTGTGGGACTCAGGCTAGTAGGTGTGCAGAGCTGTGTCCAAGTAGAAAGTAGAATTACATGAAACATGGCCATAAGGAAGCCACAGGGGCAAAAGCGAGGGGAGTTAGAAACCAGCCTGTCTTGCATGGAAGACCACATGATCCTCGACTTAAAAGATCATGCCATTTGCTCCCTCCTACCTTAACCTGACTGCCCACAATGCCAGGCAGATGCTGCCCAACTCTTCCAAGAGCGGCACACTTAATCAGGGCAAACCTCTCTAGCCCCTCTAGGACCACACTGAGGGAAGGAGTAATTAAGGAACACATATATGCTTATCAGCCTCTACCAGTGGGGTGGGACAGTGCTACTGAGAGTGCCTGGGAAGGTGCTGCATGGGCTGCCCTGGCTGTGCTGTTTCCCCTCACTCCTTCAGCCTCCTTGTTTTCATCCACCAGTATGGCATTGATCTGGCTCAGTGAGAATTCCCATTTATATTTCAGCCTTGCCTGTGACACCGTCCCTGAGTCCCTGCAGCTCTGATGCGTGCTCGCCGGCTCTCCCAAATGCTCTGCTTCGCTCAGCCCCTCCTTCTCCTCAGCCTCCTTGCCATCCCTCACCCCACCAAGCAGTCCTGCTCTCTCTCTCCAACCGGCCCCCCATGCCGCTGCTGACGTCCGTGCTTTCAGTCACTTCGTCTTCCCTAGACACGTCTCAGCCCTTCTCCCTGTGCTCCCAATTAGCACAGTCGCTAGGTTTAGCTGGGCAGCTGGCGTATCCAAGTCTGCACCGTGAAAAGATGGGGATTTCTGCTTCACAGCAAAGCTACCTACGGGCTCTCTGGTACCTGGGGCTGCTCTCACAAATGCTGAGCCTTTGGTCTTGCCTCTCACTGAAAAAGTCATAGCCTAGGCTCATAGGGATAACCAAATGGCAGAGTGACTCCCCACCTCCCTGCTCACAAATCCTCACTAAAAGCCTGTTCTATGCAGCTAGAAGCTGGCACATAGGGTGTCCCTTGCTAGGGCTGGCTGGCTAGGTAATTGGAGGAGCAGAAGATCCTCCAGAGAGCCTTAAGAAGCATATATGTGGCATGTGCACTAAATCTGTATCCCCCACATTAAATAGTCTGGGTAGGCTTATGCTCCCATGGGCTCCTGAAGTGCACAAGCTATAAAATAACTTCTGAAGGATTAATATGACAGCCTGAGCCTTTAGATGCCAAACACCCAGAGACTGGGGGGCAGAGTTTTTGTCACGGTTTAACCCCAGCTGGCAGCTAACTACCATGCAATCATTCATACTCCTTCTGCCACCCCCTGTGGGATGGGGAGAACTGGAAAAAAGGTAAAACCCCCTGGGTTAAGTACAGCTTAATAATTCAAATAATTATAACAACAACAACAGCAATAATAATATAAGGAAACAGAGAAGGATAAACCCCAAGAAACAGAAGTGATGTACAATACTTCTCACCACACGCTGACCATGTGTTCCCAACCTGTTCCCAATGAACTCCCCCAGTTTCTATACTGAGCATGATGTGCTGTGCCATGGAATATCCATTTGGATGGGGTGTCCTGGCTGTGCTCCCTCCCAGTTTCATGTGCTTAAGGATCAGGTGGGAGTCACGTAAAGGAGGGAGAATATCCAGCAAAACAGAGCAAAATGGTGGACTTTGGAGACCAGCACCCTAGGAAAGTTGGGTTTTTTTCAAAGCTTTCAAAGACAGAACATAGCATAATGGCAGATGCTTGTCACAGGTAGTTTAACCCTGGATAGAAAGAGTTCCTTTGCCTCAGGAAGCAGTACCAGCTCTGGGAGACATTTGGCTTAGAAGGGAAGGTCTGCTGATCTCACTACCTGCAGGGACCATGTGTGGCAGTGTCTGCCTCCTGGCTCTCCCTCTACCTCTTCCCCTATCCCTGAAAGCGGCCACCCAAGCAGAGGAGATTGAAGTCTGCCACATTATGAAGCCGCTTTCTCTCCCTCTTGTCCCAAACTGAGCTTCTCCCTCCCTTTTCGCTTCCTGGCTCCCCGTGCACTCTCTCGAGGGTAAGCTCATTGCAGCAGCCCTGCTCATCAGCACAGCCAGCAGTCAGAAATGCCACAGCTGAAATTATCCCTTCGCCAGGTCCCTTTGTAGGAGGACTGACGTCACTGTCCCTGGCAGCAGCCAAGCAGGGAAGGTGCCCTCCCCAGGCACCCTTTCCTCCTCCCTCTGTCTTTCAGTATCTAGCACATCTCCTTGCTGTATTTAGCTACCTACTGTGAGCTCCCTAGGAGTCTTACGTGTTCCCTGTTGCCTTCATTTCAGTATACCTCCCATAAAGCATCTGCAGCACAAGCTATATTCCAATGTTTGCTCCCTGCCAACACATTAGAAGTCTTCCTGACACCATCGTGTTCGCATCCCAGTGACAGTGGAGGGCAGTGATTGTGGAAGCTACATGGTAAAGATGCTGAACTGTGACTTTGTTCCCAGAGAGCAAAAGAGGGAGCAGTAGTAGCCATCCAGAGCTTCTGTTGCACAGGAAAAGGCTGAGTGAGAGGCTGGAAGTTAAAGGAGAGAGGACTTGTGGCCATGTTGGAAGATGGATAGCTAAATCACAGCAGGCTTCTTTTGAAAGCCTCAGTGAAAACACATCTGTAACTCTGAAGAGGCCCTTTGATTTACAGAGTTCTCAATGATCGCCTTATTTCCAAAGAGTTTACATGGTAGTAACATGAAATTTGGGGAATGGAACATAAAGGGGGAAGGCAGCCGTTGAGCAACAGTGGCAGAACAAGGGACAGTGTTCTGGGATTGCAAGGGACGAAGGATGGGACAGTAGGGAGGAGTGGAAAAGAGAAGATCAAAATAACAATGGGGGTGAGGCAACTTAGGTTTTTATGCTTGGTGCTGTGCAAACACAGGTAACAGGGTAGAATCTGAATACCAAAAGGTCTGATTCCAGAATGGAAGTGAAAAATGGCTTTTCACAGGACTGGGGGATATTCATTGGTTTGCACTTAGGTCACCACAGGATAGGAAATAACACCAAACCAGGCAGACACCTTTAAAAACCTTTCTCCTTTTCCTGTCTGAGAAGAGGTGAATCCAGGGAGTCAAAGGAATGATCTGAGAAAGGGTTAGCCTGGTCCCAGCAATATGAACTTCAGTGCTGGCTGCAGGGAGGTCAGAGCCCTGTCTTGGAATGATCTCCCATGATCTCCACTGTGCTACCCAGGAGTCCACTCCTCTCTCCTGGAGGAGAGAAGGTTATTCCCCTGGGCTTCTCTTCCTACCTCTTGGAGGTGGCCTTTTCTGAGAACCATTATACTCATTACTTTTCTGGACAAGTCTAGGTTGGCACTGAGCTTCTCAAACAACCTGACAGGCTGTTGTTGGCACCACTGACAGCTGAGGAGGCACAACCCTTCATGTACTTCACGTATGACCGCTCTGAACCTCTTTGTCCTTTCCTTCTGTTGTCCTCTGCTGAATGAAAAGTTTCCAAGCCGAGCACTGCTGCTTCCAGGTCTCCCTAAAGAGTCTCTGAGCATTTCAGACAGTAACTTGGAGAGCCCTTACTTTCTGATTAAAAAGATGAGGCTCCATTAGTGAAGAGAGAGAGGAGAATGTGAACAAGAGTGGGAGGCCTGCCATCGACAGGGTCCCTGTTCAGTGCTTTAGGCTGTCCCCACTCTCAGTGCCATTCATCAATTTAACCCAATATGATACTGTGATTTTAAGTGACTCCAGCATTAGAAACTCTGTCAGGCATGAGATTTATGGGGTGAGGTGTGGGAAAGGTGTTTCCTCTGCCAAGTCACGTACTGTGCTCTTCTTCCCAGTCTTCGTGGGGCTAGAAAATTGGGTTCTCACAGGCTCCTTCAGCTGGTTTGTGAAGCCAGAGAAAGGATCAGCATTCCTGCAGAGGATGAAGGAAACGAGTGAGCCTGCAGAGAAGGGGCTAATTATGGGGCATGAGGAAGACAAAAAGACTTCTATTTTCTGTGCTTGCTCTCACACTCTCTTCCCTGTTACCTATACCTATCCACAAGGATGAACTTTAAGCTGAGGCATCACAGCCCTTTTGGGTCTTCTCAATAGGTTCAAGAGCTGTTGCTGTTTGCTCCCTTATTCATAGCATGGGGCTCACCAGTGCTGTCAGGAGCTTTCCGGGAAGCAGAAACCCAGCAGTTTTTTGTATTAGTTGGCAACCTGCCTGGCTCTGGGGCTCCCAGAGTGGCTAAGGGATGCTGAAGAAAGTGTGGCAGCAGTAGGGGATGACTGTAGTCCCCTCTCAGACTTCTTTGCCAAAAGATATCCAAAGAGCCAGGCCCAGCCACACTGGAAGCTCTTGATTCTACAGTATCCTGACTGGTGCTCAGCAGAGCCATGGAGGGAAGGTACTTAGGAAAAAGAGAGAAGGATGTGGTGGAGGTGGGGAGGATTAGGAGGAGTAATGGAAGATAGAAAGGAAGAGGGACTCTGAGAAAAGGAACAAGCATGAGAAGAGTGTGTAACAGTAGCGCATGAACCAAGAAATGTGCAGCTCTAAAGTGCTTTGCTTTCCTGATGCTCTTCTGCTTAATGCACTCTGTGCTTGTCCCCTTAGATTCCATTTCTGTTGGATCCAGCAGTGGCCCTGTTAGCCTCACACTAGGTAACCAGTTTGTGGTGAAAACAAGAAGAGAGAAGCCCTCAACCACCCCTGGCAGAGCAGCTGTCACAATGGATTGGCTTCCAGCATCTTGCCAGCTGCCCCTAGCACCGGCTGTCTGCATGAGTTAAGAGTCTTCTCCTGAGCTGCTGAGAACTGCCACAGCTAGCCTGTATCATTCACAGCATCCATGAGCACAGGACTGCCGTCCGGACATCGGATGCCCTGCAGCTCCTTGGGCACTCAGCTGGTGCAGAAGGGAAGCAGCATCTATCTGCATGTGCACATGTACACACACAAACACACAACTGTGCAACGGCAGCCTGGGCTAGCACCTCGCAGGCACAAATCCAAGCTGCTGCTTAGACTTTCACAGGCTCACACTGGACACGCAGTGTGGCTGGACACATGCATGGACACACGTGGCAATGAGAGGTCTGCATGCATAGGTGCACATGGCCCATGAGAACAAAGCAGTACGCACACTGAACAAGCGTGCATAAGCACATCACAAAGTGTCTTTCCCACCCTTGCCATCCAGTCACTGTAAGTACAGATTGTTTTTTGTTGTATGTCATTTCATCCCTCCTAGTCAGGGTGTTTATCACTCACTCACTCACTCACTCACTCACTCACTCACTCACCTATATGAAATGGCCTGATTTGGCCTTCTCACACCAAAACCTCCTGCCACTTCTGTATGCCCATGCACATGGCTCTGTTCCCCTTTCACACTCCTCATCCCTGTCCTCTCACCTTCAGCCAGCTGTGTGCCCATAGATGCCAAGGTCGAGTGGTCTTATTTACTCTGTGCCAGCCAAAAGCCCAATTCCTGAGTTCCTCTGAAGGTGTAAGAAATCCCTGTGTGCTCCTCTCCCCGCCCCACACCCCTGCATTTCTCACCACCCCTCCTGGGGCCTCATTGCTGCTCTGGGCTTAGAAGGTATTATTAACATTACAAAAAGGGCTGTCACTTCACAGCAGCCAGGTGAAAAACAGAAACTGCAATTAGGAATTTGCTAGGGAAGCCAGGGAAGGCAGCACCAGTAGGGTGATGGAGAAGCAGCGGGCTGCCCTTACCACCCTGTCTTCCTTCCCCTGTCCCCTCCTCTCCTGCCCTACTTCTTCTGCCAGTTGTCTCTCTGTGCTCTCTTCTTTCCCTTCCCGATTTGTTTGCTTCCCTGCTGATGTCCTGCCGTGGCACTGCCTGCCACGGGCAGCATCACTGCACCTTAATTAGGTCTGCGGATGAATGCGGCTGTCAGCCTCCCCACCTCCACACACAGGCTTCCACTTCCTTCCCATCCCCTGATAAATAGAGATGATGGGAGATCATTTGTCCATAATGGCCCTCTGTGATAATAAATTCTTGTTTCTGGTGGCATTGAGGAAGAAAAGCAACAAAAATGAGATGGCCCTGTAGTGATAGAAATATGAGCTGTATACCACATTGGGTGACGTCTGTGGGGAAGCTGGTTAAGAGAAAGAGCATAAGAGTAAGGGAGGGTGAAATACACAGGGGGCCCAAGGGTTGATCTGCTATATCTTGACTTTAGCAAGAAATGCAGCCTTCTTTCCTCAGACCCTGCTGGCATCTTTCACAGTGATGGAGGAGGGGGATGACCACGCACCCAGAGATAACCAGAGGAAGGGAGCAGGGTTGGGAGGCCAGGGGAGAGCTCCCAGTGTCAGCAGGAGGCCAGGGAAATTCTGGTTGTCGCTAGATGAGAGGGTTATAGAGCAGGTTGTGCATGGGACCAGATGTGAAAGGATTGGATTGGACGGGGCTTTGAGAACTTGCCTTAGTGGAAGGTGTCCCTTCTCATGGCAGGGGATTGGAACCGGATGAGCTTTAAGGTCCCTTCCTACCCAAACCATTCTGTGGTTCTATGATCTTGGGCACCCACTGACTTTGCAAGGGAACTTCTACTTATCTCCCTGGTCTTTCAGCCTGGCAGCTAGTGAAGGTAGTCAGCAACAGGATGACATTGTGGTTAGTGTCTGGGAACTGGAGATACAATAATGCATTGCTGGTACAATTTTTTGCAGGAAGGTGTAATCCAATATCAGAAGCAGCCCCTTGTCAGTGCTTTGTGAGAAAGAAACAGCTGAGAGAAACAGGCAGACCATCACATCCTGGAAATACGAGAAGGGATGCTGGAACTGGAGGTGAAGGAAGTCTCAAAGCATGTCAGCTAAAAGCATGGGAGCTGGAGAGAGGGAAGCAATGACTTTCACATGAAATGAGGCTGTCTTTCTTCCTTTCTTCAGTGCCTGGTGCATGGGCAAAGCCTATCTGTTACTGTGCAGTTCCATGATCTCTGCCTGCCCTGCCATGCATGGCAAAGCTGTCAGTGATCCACACCAGGCCCCCTGGGCTGTGAATACCTCCTTGCCTCCTTGCCATGGCCTCAGCTGTGGACCTCCGAAGGCTGCTCAACCCAAAGAAGGAGACAGGCAGAGCTACTGCAGTGCCCGGTGCAGGGGCAGCCCAGAGGGACCCTGTCAACTCAGCAAGTGCTGGGGCGAGGGCAACACCTCTCCCCACCTTTGTCAGAAGCCATGGATGGCTCCAGAAGCAGGTCATGACAACAGCCTGCTTGACACTGTGCATGCTTGTTCCTACTCGCAGGGGAGGCAGATTGGGAGGAAGGATTCCAGCTCTACATGTCCTGTCACTTCTCCTCACCAGCTTGTTTTGACCCAGATTCATTACAGTATAACGAATCCATGACTCCCCTCGGGATTTCACAGTTGTTGCCATGCTGCATAGCACCACTGCTCACAATTTCATGGTGGTAGCATGGCGGGTGCTCATGCCCTCCTCCCCTGCTAGGGCCCTTGGGGACAAAGGAAAAGCTCTTTCAGGCTTCAGCACTCTAGCACACGTCGCTGTTACAGTCACTTCTCTCTTGTGTACCCCTGTTCTGTGCTGAGCCTATGTGTGATCAGAACACATTGGTGGCGCCTGCCTAATGTGATACAAGGATGCAGGTGAGCAGGCAGCCACGGCATGCTGCAGTCTCCATGGCTTCATCCATGTCGGATGGGAATAACAAGGTATGCTGCAGCCTATCCTTGCAGCCCATCCTTGCAGCCCAGTCTAGATGTTGCTTGTGTAGGAGCACAACTGAGTCTCACAGTTGAGACAACCTTGAGCCTTCAGCAAAAGCTGGTAATGCACAGACACATACAGCGCAATGCACACAGGAGGGGCCCTGTCCCTGCCTTCATACTGAAACTTTCTGTCCTATTAGCTGGACACAGCATGGATGGCTTCATGTAGTGCAAGTGGGACTGTAAGTAAAACTCCTAAAGTGTAACAAAGATGGCTTAGTCAGAGCTAGGCATGACCCACCATTATTATGGACAACTTTTCTTGAGGACAAAGAGACCCTAATCTCATGCCTTTTGTGCTCCTTAGCACAAATTCATCACCCAGAACAGACCAGCTTATCTTTCCAACCTTTCCATCCCCCTTTGCCTGGATGCCCGTGTAAACACCCTCTCTCTCTGTGCAGACCATGTTTTTGACATGAAGCAAGCTATGCTCTGACAACCTCCCTGCTGCCCTGGCCTGACAGCTGCTCATCACTGGCTGAGAACACCAGCCTCCAGAGCTCAGGAGCACTTCCTCCTTATGAATTATTGACACAAACCTTTGCCTTTCCATACCCCACGTCTCTCCCTGCCTCTCCTCACACTGACTGTGTTTGTCAATTACCTCTTCATCAGGCCTTTCCTTTGAAAAATTCTTTTTCATCTTGCAAAAAGCTTTTTATGCTTTCTTTTCTTCCCAGGGAGGGGACTAGGGAGAGATGGCATGTAGGGAGGGCACTACCCAGCCACTGTTAGGAATACAAAGGCAGCTTTGTGCATGGCATGCCTCCTAATTGGCTGTACTCTGGGACATTGGGGCTCATCCTCAGTGCTGCAACAGAGCTATGTGGTTCACTCTCAGTGGAGAACATTGCAAGGGCAGAGATTCCTTTTCAGGGGTGTGGGTTGGGGGGCAAGGTTTGAGACAAATTGCCCAAAAAAGCATAGATTTCCCTCAATCAAAGCCAGCTCTCCTCTCCTCCTGCTGTGCTGCAGCCAGCTGTTTGCCTTCCTGGAGTTTTCCTCCTCCCAGCCCATGCATCTGGTGAGCTCACCCAGGAGCCATCATCATTAAGTGCCAATGTGGGAATGAATACGAGAACCCTTAATTAGCTCCCTTGTATAAATAGCTTGGTTTCAGCTGGCAGGGGAGGTTGGACCCTGCATCTTGAGTGCCCAGCCCTGGATTCTGGTGAAGTTGTGGGGGGAGTGGGTCTGCGAGGTCCAACTCTAGATACATCACTAGAGGGAGGCAAAGACCTGCCTTATAGCAGCCTTCCAGTACCTAAAGGGGCCTACAAGCCTACAAGAAACCTGGAGAGGGACATTTTACAAGGGCATGTAGTGACAGGACAAGGGAAATGGCTTTAAACTGAAGGAGGGGAGATTTAGATTAGGCATTAGGAAGAAGTTCTTCCCTGTGAGGGTGCTGAGGCCCTGGCACAGGTTGCCCAGAGAAGCTGTGGCTGCCCCATCCCTGGCAGTGCTCAAGGCCAGGCTGGACGGGGCTTGGAGCAACCTGGTCTGGTGGAAGGTGTCCCTGCCCATGGCAGGGGGTTGGAACTGGATGAGCTTTAAGGTCCCTTCCAACCCAAACTGTTCTGGGATTCTATGATTCTGCTGCAGCTTAGCTTGACCCTAACCCCTCTGGTGATGAACAGAACTGCTCAGTTGCTGATGTACGGCAGGCATGGGCAGCCCCCAACCCCACCAGAGGGCAGGAAGCTGTGGTGGGGCAGGGTTTAAGACTCTTCCTTCCCTTTCCATATGTATGTCCTGGGTAAAGACAGGACTGAGAACTGACCCATAAGTTCAGGAACAGGTATAGCTCTCACTTGCCTGTGATGCTGGGCATCAACAAGTTATGACAGCTCCTTTCCTGCCTGTGACAAACAGAGTTTCCCCTCACTCATAGGAATTGGCTTTTATTTGCTACCCTAAATCCCAGTCAGGAATCCACTGGAGGGTAGAAAAAGGTGCAGTATACCCCTGATCCTTCTTTTTAACAGCATGTGCTACCCAATGGGTACTATTGCAGATCTGGCAATTTCTCCATCCACCGTGCAGCCTCCTCAAACCCTTAGCAGATGCTTTGCCACATGAAATAAGAGACAAAGTGTTCTTGTGGGTCAGGTGCACATCTGGAATGGAAAAATGACCATTGGAAAGTATGGAGGGTGCCTACCAGCTGCAGACAAGAACAATACAGGGGGTATTGTCTCCCAAGGCAGATTAAGTTAATCTGTATGCCGATGGGGATGTGCCTCAAGAAGAATCAGTTGGGATCTGTGAAATCAAGGGTGCAAAAGGCAGGTGGGTCTTCACACCTTGGGGATCAAGGCTGGGGTGTTTATATATCAGCCCGTCTTGCCTGTATTTTGTTCTGGCGGCGAACGTGTTCTGAAAACAAACAGAACGTTGAGGAAGAAACTTGTGGAGCGAATGACTGTTTTTTTGGTTGCTAAGCCATCTGTTCTGCTCCAGCAGCTCTCCTAGGGCTCCACTCCCTATCTCCATGCATGTGTTCCTGTGTGGGAGGCTGGCGCTGGCTGGCATGGCAGGAGGGAGTATCGGGGTGGAGGGGAGGACGTGTGTGTGCTGGGGAACTCGGATGCTCTGAGCAAATTTGCTTGGGAGGGGAGGAGGAAAGTTGGCTGTGGCAGTGTGTGCAAACATAAGAGGCAGAGGCCAAGCCTGGGAGTGTGTGTGTGTGGGGCTGTGCTTTCTATGTGTGTCTGGGGGTCTAGGATCACTGGCACAGGCTGGAGTTTACACCAGGATAAGGAGCCACCCCTCCACAGCTTGGAAGCCATAGGGCTGGTCAGTGCATTGCAAACCAGCCTGCAGGTGGGGGTGAAAATGTGTCTTTGTGCATGTCAATGTGGATCAGTGAAATGACACTCATGGAGAGTGTATGTAGGTGGGCAACAGCAGTGTGGCACCCAGTGGGATGAGAGAAGCAAGGTGCAAGCTGGTGGGAGGGAGCTGTTGTGTGGCACAAACTGTAGGTGATGGGGTAAAAGTGCAGAGGGAGATGAAGCCCATGCATGTGGAATTTATGGCCAGCCCATCAATGTGCAGGACCCCAGCTTTCCCATCCTTGCGCCTGTCCACCCCACAGCAGTCTCTTCCTCCTACACTGCACAGCCCCTGCAGCATCAATTGTGCTGCAGTGATGAGGGATGAAGGCTAATGACCTCTGCCTATTGATTACCTTGAACCAAGCTGTGGAGATATTTTATCCCCCCACCCTTCCTCCTCCCTGCCCTCACTCACATCCTTCCTCGCTCCTTGCCAGACAAGGCAAGGTTGCCATAGCAGCTGACAACTTCCACTGTCCTGCCTCTCAGGAGGACAGGCAGCAGCAATAAAAGAGATGGGTTTTAGGAAGAAACCTATGGCCTGTTTGTCTCCTTGTCTAATGAAAACAGCAGCTGGGGCTCCTTTGGTAAACTTCTGAGGCTGGTGTAGTCACCTCAGAGCATCCAGGTGTCATACAGAGGGAGAACTGCTAGTGTACTGGGCACACACGATGCTCCTCACCCACAGCCAGTCATACCCAGCTGCTGGGTTGCATTCAGTGGTGCCCATTTCTGAAAGCGAAATTGTTCTGTGAGAGCATTAAAGTAGGAGTCTGCAGACCACTCCTAGCTGGCAGTGTAGACATCCTCAGCATTGAATCACACCTCTTCAGGAATCTTCATTCCCCTCTCTCCCTGTCATGCAGACATGCTGCTGCACTGCAGATGCAAACAGGGCATCAGCTTCCACCACAGAAGCAGCTGAACTAAAAGGTGAGCTGATTGCCACCCCTGTCTGCCCTAAGCAGCATCATTTAGGGAACGCACTTGACTGGCTGCGGCAAGGGAGTTGGTGTTGCTTTGTACAACAGCTGATGTCCTCTGTAAAGATGGCACTCATTTTGGGGCTATTTTATATGTTTTTAAACATTCATTCCTTAGGACAAGATTCTAAATCTTTGATGTACCCTGGTACAGCCATTCTTATATTTTAATGTGTCATTATGTCCTGGTGCACCTTCTCAAACCTCTTTCACACAAACACTTCAATGGTGTTTTTGTGAATAATGACCTTTACAGAGCATGCTTCTCCCCACCCCACCCCCAAAAACCCACTAAACATGAACACCACAATCATAGAATCATAGGAT